GATGTGTAGTTCCCATAAGCTCAGAGAGAGTTTCAGGGAAATACATGTGAGGGGAAACTGGGAGCCTTTCCTAGATCTTGCAGCAAAAAATTCTGCAGTTTCATTGTCTTAATGATGATAGCATCCTGGCCTCTCCCACCAGGTGTCACTGCGAAGTCACACAAGAGGATCTGTTGGTGATCACGCAAAACGCAGACAAAATGAAGATTAATAAGGCATAGGAGTCATCTCTGAAAAAGTGGCTTTTTTCCCCTCCTCCTCCTGGTTCCTAGCCAAAAGGGAAACACAGCAACAGCGCTGTGTGTTAAGCTCAACAAAGCAGAGCATCAGCTTTAAAGGATGACTGTGTAAAGCTCATACTACTCTAGAGATTTAAATGTGTCCTGTGAGAGCTGGGGCTGGGGCTTGGCTGCCAGGAGTGGGTCCCTCTTGATGTCTGAGGATGAGGAGATGTGCAGATGAGACATCCCAACCATGGTGTCAGGACAAAGTCTGGAATGGAGATTCTCAACTTGAGATCATCTTGAGATTTAGAGACTTCCGAATTTAGAGACTACCTCTGATCCTCTGACAGTGACACGAGATTAGGGAGTAACTCACATGCAATTCTTACTTTTTAAACTCACTTCTTCTTTTTAACTCACATGCTATTCCTAGCAAAGTCCCTAATAGCCACAGGTATGTCCCACATAGCAAGATGCAAAGTTGTTCCTTTGTTCTCCTTGTTTCTACTGTAATATCTGAGGACACATGCAGCAAACTCCTCATGTCACACTTTATGCATGCCATAGGACCTTCTATAGATGAAAATCCTTCTTTCCCCTTCCAGCAGTGACAGAAGCACACCCCACTGTGTCACATCCTTGATTTCCAAGCATGCACTTAGAGCACAACACCAGGAGTTATCCAGCTTTATCTGTGAACACAGTTTGCTCAAGAAGACCACACCAGGACTTCCTAGCAGTGCAGCCCAGAGCAGGTCCCTATTCCTGCTACAGGGACCCTGACTAACCCTGCTGGGCTGCTCCTGGTCCAGCAGCAACATGTCAGTATGGAGGGAAGTCCTACTGCCCCATTCCCCAGGATTCAGCACCACATAATCCCAAAATCAACAAATTTCCAAACTGCAGCACAGGGACATCTCAACCTTCTTTTGTCACTTAACAGAGTCATGGGGGTGACCTCCACCAGAGTGCCCTGCTGCCACCCTTCCTCACAACAGCTGAACAGACTTTCCAAGTGCTCAGTAGCAAATTAAGACACTTTAATTACACCATGACAAAATTAACTTCTGTGGAAGAGTGCTCTAAAAAAAGCATATAAATGAAATTAATTTTACCTGCAATTTACTTTTTAAATGCACGTTATTTTTAAGATATTACTACTTACATACAGAACATATAAATACTCTTCTCTTATTGCTTTGGAAGTCCTTTTTGCTACACCAGCACTTGCTTTAAAATTATCTCTAAGACTTATCATTGCTAAAATATATTCTCAAACCAACAATGATCATACAGCAAACTGAAATAAAAACCACTCTTTGCTGCTGCTATGCATTTAAATGTGCAGCTGATTTCAGTGGTGGAACTTAAACTCTGTTTTATAGGATATCACTCGATTTTAGTACAAGCATTTATCAGGCACAACTCTGAAATGTTAAGTTAGACTATGAAAACATTGTCAATGCTTATTTTAGTAATAAACCCCATGCTTAATCTATGCTTTCATGTTACAGTAATCTATGTATCAATCTATAACCTTCCAGCTAAATGCACTAAGTAGATTAAGCTCTGATTGATTTGAAATGTTTTTCACTATATTATCAAAAGTCTACAGATCAGCATAAATACCTCGAAGAAATTTTTTCTCCTTTGGCAGATTTACAAAAGCAGAGCTTAACTTGAATTGCAATGAACTCCTGCATTTTTCTGGGGCAAAAATCCTGTCAAATTTACTCTCGATCTACTGTGCTTGTGGACTCAGGGAAAACCTGTGATTAATAGTGCAGCACATCTATTCTGTCGTGACAAGAGTGATGACATTGTGAAGAAAAGTGTCCCCCCGTGCATGTGGAGTGCCAGGAGTCACCCCAAAGGGTGGCACTGCTGGGGTGCCATCTGCAGAGCTCGCTGTGCAAACAGCTCTCACAAAGGGGAGGGGAGGTTGCCGGTGGTGTGCTCTTGCTATATAGATAAAACTCATTAAAAGTCATCTTCCTCAAATAGAAAACACCGAGTTTTATTTTCTGTGCTGCATTTAGGCAATGTGAGAAGCAGGTTGTGAGCTGTCACAGCAACCCAGCGGGCACCGCGAGGAGGCTCTGCTGTCGCTGCCAGGGGTCGCAGAACTTCAGCAACAAAAAGAGCATGGAAGGGAAGAGGAGTGTGCTGAACTCTCTGTGATCCTGATTCTCGCAGCTCCTCTGCAGACTGTCTGCTGGAGCTGGCTGCACAGATGGAGGGAGATTTCTGCATATGCTCAGCTCTCATCCTGGTAGCTCGCTGAGGCGGCAGCAGTGCAAACAAACACGGGCCTGAGCATCCCACCAGCTCGGCTGGGAGGTGGGGAAGGCACAGCTACAAACCACTGCAGGAATGGGTGAAGAGCAAAAGTGGTCTTGAGGTGGCACCATTCAGTCTTTGCCAAATTTTCAAGCGTTTCCAGTCAGGTAAGTTTGGATTTAAGATGTGGTCCAAGTTTATCCCATTGAAGAGGCGGCATCCAAGAAAAGGAAAGACTTTGGAAAAACAAAGGTGATGATGTGTTGGCAGAGTATCCCAGATTAAAGCTCACTGGCAACCATAACTGGATTCTCTTGGACCTCACTGGGGAGGTGTCTCTCATTTCTCAATTGTCCTCATCCATTTATCCCCATGGAATGTCCAGCTTCTTCTGGATCCTGCTCCATCCATCCATGCTGGTGTCTGAGCACTGCAGACCCCAAAACACCATGGCCCCACAGTTTGTTCAAGCACAAGTCCTCAGCCCCGACTCTAGTTCCAGGTTTACCTTCATGAGGATTGTACAAGTGTTGACAAGAGAAGGAGCTCAGCTCACACACTCAGCTCTGGATTTGATTTTGGATTCCCATTAGTTGGGACCATTTAAATCAGGTTTTCCTGTGGGACCTTCTACACCTTGCTTGTGAAAAAAGAGAATTATTTAGTTCAATATAAACTGCATTAGGACATAAAGTGACATTTCCAAATCCTAATTTCTTTCAAACATAACCCCAGTGAACAATAGGTTCAATGGTCCTAATCTGCCTCATGCCTCACAGGTTACATAACCAGACTGTACTATATCACACATTCATTTCTTACCCTATCACATTAACATAAAGTTAACAAGCAAATTCATTATAGAGGGCAAACCTGAAAGTCAATGTCAGCCAAGAAATTGCCTGAGCAATCCTGTAATTGAATAAAAATAGGTGTCAGCAAAACAAGTGTCATCCTGGGCTTGCTGGTGTGCTCTGAGTTCATGGGCTTGACAAACTCCTCTCAGTGTGGTGCTGTGTGTGAGACTCTGCAAGGAGACCTGATGTACTAAATGATGTTTATCAGACAAATGTGGGTAGTAGTAGTTGGCACATTTGACCTCTGGAGTCAAACAGCCTGCCCACAACTTCACCAGCAAATTAATAAATAAAGTGGAGGAAAATTAACATTTTGTAACTTCTTAGCCACTTATCTGGTTACAAAGTGCTTGCACAGCACAAGGAGGATATTTGCAAATATGCTGTATTACAGTAGAAACACGTATTTAAATATGAAAAATAATAAACTGCTATCAGATTTTTCCACTGATGTGTTTGATGAGTTTGCACTCATTTATGGAATTTATGGGATCAGCATATTTAGGAGGGGCAAACAAACTAATTTATTTTAATTCCCTCATTTCTTCATCTAAGGGCCCCCACCTAGCTGTGATACAGACCAATTTAAGTAGTGATACCTATTTTTATACCAATTAACCATTAATGGCATTTTGTAACCTAGTCTGTTCTATTAAGCCTCAAGGGAATTGGGAGCAGCCAACAGGACATGGTTCATAGATGGATCTGGAAACTTTCTCTCTGTAGAAGTAAGAAAACCTTGGGCCTATGCTGGGACCTGTAGGAGAAAGTCTGGCTGTAGAGGGAAGCTGTGTCACAGGGAAGAGACACTGCCAGGTCCAAAAGCCAGGATCCCTGTGAGAAGGAACTGCTGGCAGCAGGATTAGTGAGCAGCAGAGAGAGGGATGCATGATACATACCTGTTATACATGTACAAATACGTATACATCTACATCGTGTGTGTGTGTGTTTTAAAATTTTTATTCTGATATATTGGTTTAAAAGCCTACAATGACCAAAAGAACTGGGGGTGGTGAGGATCCTCTCCTAAGCTAATGAGCAGTTGAGATCTCTTTTCAAGCAGCTGCTCACAGACACCGAAATGGCCATTTGCCAGCTGAAAGGATCAAAGGAAACAGTGCTCCAGAGACACCCTCCACCCTGTCAGGCCCATTTTCACAGGAAAGGAGCCAATTACTGGGGTCTGCTTTTAGAAATTGTTTTAGGTGGCAAGGTCTGGGCAGATTCCAAGGCCCACCCAGCTCTGTGGAAAACAGCTAATCAAGTAAAATTGTTTCCTCGCTTTCTCCTTTAAGATAGAACCCCTTTCCCTCCTCATTTCAGTCCTTTTCTGCCAGTGATTTGAAAACTGGCATGTCCACGAGTGATTGAAGGTGCCATTAAATAATGAAGCAGTTCTGTTCATTAAAGCCCAGTGATTTATTGCCTTTGGACTAAGGGAAAGAAAACAGCCTGAAAACAGAATTCTTACACCATTTCACATCATTTCCAGTCCAGCACATCAGGCAACTGTTAGAATAGCAGGTTTTCAGCTCTGTGATGATCCAACAATGCTGGATGTCTAATCCCAGCAAGGCCTATAATTCTAGAGTGTAACTTAAACTCATAACTAACTGCTGGCCTAAATGTCATGTCCTACCTTCATACAGCCAGTCGCTGAGCCCATTGAAAATAACACCTTCCTTTCCTGTGGAGACCACTCGGATGGCTTGTTTCCCCACATGGGCACAGTAATAGATGTTATTCTCAAAGATAAATATCTGATTTGAAGGAAAAAAAAAAGAAAAAAAAGAAAAAGAGAACAGCATTAAGCAGTGGCTCCAGCATAAAATGTTCCATTTTGCTTTTACAATAATTGGCAGTATAAAATCACATATCACAGTTTTATGGAATCTTTTGTAAAAAAAAAAGGATTTCCACAGCTTGCTTCCAATGCCATCAGCTAACTGAAAGATGCTAATTTACAACAAACTGAAGCCTTGGTGCTTTGATATAAGCTTTATTTCTCTCACTCCTGTCTTCATTTCAGAAACTGAATGGTTCAGTTAGAGGGCATGAGATAAAGAGTTCCATTGCTTAGGTTTTGAGAGTTGTTAGAGGTGAAATACTCCTGTGAATCAGGCTCTTTATTCATGTGTTTAAATGCTGATCAGGAAGTTATTTAGCCAGCAAATAATAAAAATATTGTTCCATGGCATCAGTCTTTATCATGTGGTTAAGTTGCTCTGTGTTCCTCTGTCATTGATAGCACAATTTCTGTTCCCTCACCCCAAAGTGAAACACATCTTGCTGTAAGTATGATAGTAAAAGGGTTTTAAAATCATGGGGATTTGGGGGTTAGAAGGAAAATTAAGCTTAGTAGGCCCTGGGAAAATACCCTGGGAAAGTGTAGGCCTTGTACTTGCTAGAACTGCACCTGTGTAGCTAGTACATGACAAATGATATAATTGTTAGATGTGATGATTGTTTAGTAATTAAATATAATTACTGTTTAATCATAAGAATAATCATGAGAAACTGTGGTCAGGGGCTTGAGAAAGATCATGAGAAACTCATGCTTGAATAAAGTCAATGTATACAATAGAACAATTAAGTTTAATAATTAATATGTAAGTTATATAACGATAGAATATAAAATACGTTCAGCTCGAAAGCCATGTCGGAGTCAGATTTGGGTCTGTACCCCTGATTCCCAGAGCTCTCAATAAAAGCACCTGCAGATAATCATATCCTGTGATTATGTGTGTTCCTGAACGCGAACAAGTAGAGTAACAGAATCACAGACTCACTTGGTTGTAAAACACCCTTAAAGTCTTTAGGGTCCCTTCCAATCCAAACCATTCTATGATTCTAAAAGCACTGAGTTAACCCAGCACTGCCAAGCCCATCACTAAAGCACCTTCCCCAGTGCCACGTTTACACATCTTTTAAATAGTCCCAGAGGTGGTGACTCCACCACTGCCGTGGGCAGCCTGTTCCAGGGCTTGACAACCCCTTCTGTGAATTGCTCCTAGAATCCAACCTAAACCTCCCTGGCACAACTTGAGGCCATTTTCTCTTGTCTTACCATCTGCTCTTTGGGAAAAGAGACAGATCCCCCTTTGCTACACCCTCCTTTCAGGTAATTGTGGACAGTGACGAGGTCCCCTGATGCCTCATGTTTTAGCTTTTATATTTTTTAGATTCTGTACTGCTTTAGTCTGAGCATTGTATTAGGGGATGGTAAACTCTCCTCACAGAGCAGGAAGACAAAACAATTCCTTCTTTAGTTGGGTGACCAAGGACAAATTATCTAAATTTCAGTCCCAAGAGCAGAAACAACATGGGCTGAAGAGAGGAAAAAAAAGCAGGATGGGATTTCATGACCCAAAGCTATAATTAGACAATTACCCCAATATGCAAATGGACCAGAACTTATAAAATTGAGAGACCCTGTGAGCAGTTGTGAAGTTTGTGACCATTTTGGTTCATCTTGGGTGTAGCCCTGACTGGGCTCTTGTGCTGCCCAAGGTGGATCCATGGAGGCCTTTCAATAAATCCCTATTTTATTGTTTATCTCTGTTCTAGGTCAGCCTTCACAAGGCATCACCCTCCTGAGCCTGTTTTTCTCTGGCTAAATAATCCCAGCTCCCTCAGCCACTCCTCTTAAGACTGGAGCTCCAGACCCTTCCCCAGCTCCATTTCCCTTCTCTGGACATGATCCAGCACCTCAAAGTCTTTTTTGTTGTGAGGGAGCTGAGCACAGGGTTTGAGGTGCAGCCTCACCAGTGCCCAGCACAGGGGGACAATCACTGCTGGTCCTGCTGGTCACATTATTCCTGATACAGGCCAGGGTGCCTTTGGCTTTCTTGGCCACCTGGCACACCTGGCTCATATTCAGGAGGAGTTAAAAGTAGATTTTTTAGGAAAACTTGCTTTTTTTTTTAGTTTTGGTTAGTGTGTAGTGTAAGATTTTCTTTGTTTGGTTAGGTGGCTGGGTGGGGGAGGGGAAGACTTGATTGAGGTAGGCTGAAGGGTGGAGGGGGCTGGAACTTTTTGTAAATAGAAGAGTAGAAAAATTTAGGATTTTTTGGGTTTTTTTAGAGGTTTTTTTTTTTTTTTTTGAGAAAGAGGAAGAAATAGTAGTAATTTTGTTAGCAGTATGTTGCGGAGAAGGAGAAGAGTGGGAAGGCTGTAAGACTGTTTAGTTATTTGTGGGAGCTGGAGCTTGGGCAGAAACCTATATGCTTTATATATATGCTTTAGAATGCTTTAGGAGGTTTTCATTTTAAATTTTATGGTTTTGTCCCTTTCTTTTTTTCTTTTATAGTAGTATAGTAGTAGTAGCTTAATGAAGTTTTTTCCCTTATTATTAAACTTAAACCTACTTTTACTCTATTCTCAATCACATTTCACAATATTCAATTAAAAAATTACATTTTCATAAAAGCACTAACATTTGCCAATATCCAACCATAACATTTTTGCTCCCCATCCCCGTCTTTAACACATTTTTAAACCCTATTAAAACTGAAAAGATGTACTGAACAGGGAATCAGTAAGCTATTTAGACTGAAATGTAAACTGTTAATAAAATTTAGTAGACATTTATAGAACGATTTTTCTACACTGGAAGATATTGGAATAAATGTTATGTATTTTTACCATGGTACTAGAAAGCAATTTCTCACGTTATGAAAAGAGAGAATTGGGAAAAATATTTGCTTTCATCTTCTGTTTCACATTCTATTACGGTATATGTTTCACCAAAAGATGAGCTTGAAAGATGCTAGAAGAAAGTATACATCTTAATTTAATTCTGGCAGGAGTTATAGCAGGTTTGCCTAAAGGTAAAAATTATTACTGAAACTGCAGCTTGCTCTTCTTCCTTTTAAACTAGGAAGAGCTGCGTTCAATGAATAGATTTGGAAAGTAAAAAATACATTGTGGAAGATACTACATTCTCTTCCCTACCACGAATTGTAGTAAACAGAGCAGCCAGATAAGGTATTCCAAGTAAAGAATTTTATGCATTAGCTAATCTGCATATGGGGAGGTTGTTGGAGTTTAAATGTGCATAAAAATTTTGAAGACTAAGCAGAATAAGATACTCAGGGTTCAAATAAATCCAAATCTCTGTGTCTGAGTACTAAATGTGCTAAGGGGTGCTTGGGTAAGAGCTCTGCTATGACAGGCACACAATCAAGTGGATTTATTCAAGTGATGCAACCCTCCCCTTGCCCACATTCTTCCAGCAAAATAAGGTTTGCAATATTTTGTATTATATTCAATGTTTTATGGCTTTACAGGAAAAATAAAGAAGGTGGATTGACAACCTGTTCCCACTCTTCCCTTTTTAAAGTGTTGCAATTTTTCCATCTTCACTGTTTGATTTTTCAGAGCTTCATTGCACTCATCAGGCTGTGTGAGGTATCTGGTAGCTGCAGTGGAAAAATAATAAAGTGCTCTGACTTCAAACCGCCTCGCATATAATTCAGAGCCAAACTGCAGCACCTCATGGAGATAGGAAAATTATCCTCCTAACTACAGTGCCTTGTACCCTAAAAATGTCAACCATAATCAAGATAAAAGATAACTGAAGCAGCACAAGGATGATTTCTGTGTAATGTATCTTATAAATTAAGAAAAAGCTTTTGGACTTCTGTTATTCATCAAGAAATAAATGTCTTTGGATTACCTCACATCCCATGTTAGATTTGAAGTTGTTGTGAAATCCCTGTGTAAGAATTGTTACTGTTTTGGTTTCATGGCATCAGAGCAGTGCTTTCTATCAAATGATCAATCCTGTCAGCTAATTAGAGGATAAGAAATTTCAGTAAAGAAAAGTAGTAAAAATATGTACAGATATCACTTTTACATTACTTTATGCCAGCTTTGCATAGCATTCCTAGACAAATTTAAAATTATGACAGAAGGGATCAAGTTCACTTTTATGCCTTTCTGTACAGGAGATAAAGAGCAGAGCCCAAATTTCTGGTGTCTTTTCTTTTGGTGTGCATATTTGAGCAAGACTTTAACCCACACATTCTTTTAATACATGTGCCTTAAAATCCAACACTGAACACAACTACTGGCATGGAAAACCAAGCTGTGCTAAGCCAGGAAGAGCCCTGTGCTGAATACCACGTCCTTTTCATCATGACACATTCAGCACAGAGGAAAGAGAAGGTATTCTGAAAGAGGCAAGAAGAATGGAAACATCCATACATAGACTGAAGAAAAAGAAATTGCTAACGCTACAGAAAAAAACAAGCAAGATATAAGTTCTACAAGATGATGGACAGACACAGAATAAAAAGAAAAATGTATTTTCACCATTTTATTTCTCAAAAACAACAGGCAAACCAATGAAACCTATAATATTTTTCCTAATGAAATCAGAATTAACATATGGAACTTCCTGCCATTGGTTCTAGCAGAAGACCTCTCTTTCTGCTGGATGTTTTAACAGATGCCTTCAAGACACTTAACAAAAATAACTGCAACATCTGAGGGGATTAAGATACAGTTTGGGGTTTTTCAAATGCATTCTCTTAATCCCAGGATAATAAAAATCAATGGATTTTGCTCTTGGCTTTGTGTGGCTCAGTATGTGACTTTCAGCTGTAACCCCTTTAGCCTCAGGTGTCAGCACACCACTAACTCCTGTGGTCTGGCAAGAAATCTCTGCCTGTTTGCAACTGGTGTTAGAATTGAAAACCCCAAACCATTAGACATCCTTGCACCACACAACTAAAATTGCAGAAAAAAAAATATGAGG